TCGGGTCTTCTTCTTCTACTTTATATACTGGATGTCTTGGGTTGTTTTTTGAAAACAGCTTACACCGTGCATTGAGACTATTTGATGATTCACCTTCCTCTGCGGGCTTATTATTATTTTTATATTGTCCTGAACCTTGAAAATACCTTCTTTGATCTTCGGGTTTTCACTGTTCTCTGTGAGGTTGGTAGTCTCTCCTTTCATGGGGATTATTTTGATTACTGTTGTGGTAATCTCTCCTAGGGGAATGCCTTTGCTCATTGTTTCTTGATCTGTAGAAATTCGGTTGGTGATAGTTTTTGTTATGATGTCCTTTTTTATCATAACCATTTCTGTTTTCTTCCTGAACTTTCCTCATATTGATCAAATCTTCAAATAGAAGGTGATTTTCGTTTTGTATGAGATTCCGTAGATCATATAGTGTTTTTAGTCCGGCTTTAGTCATCAAATATGTCCTAATTTGTAGAGGCATATTTATGAAAAAGTGGTATAATAAATTTTTCTCTAACGAGGACACTATAGTTGTTCTTTCTGGTGTGTTTTGAATTCGGTATTTGGAAATAATCAATGTTCGACTGCTGTCTAATCGTTGAAGAAAACCTAGAGGGTGTTCTTTATGAAGGATTCTTAAATTAAAAAGTGCAAATGTCAGCTGTTCAATAGAACGAGAATCCTTAAATGTATTTTCCAGGTATTGTAAAAGTTCAGTGACCCCGGTGAATTCGCAAGTCATATTAATGTAGTCAGTGTCTCCTGTAAATTTTAAGCAAATATTACATTAGCCTTATTAAAACTCGTACTTCGTGAACTATGAATAATTCATTTAATTCTGTTGAGACAAATAGACACAGAAACATTAGAAGCAAAGTGAGCTTCAAGAGATTTAGAAAAATTTGGCTTACTGGTAAAATTCATATAGTTTTATTTAAATTGCAATTGATAATGGCATTATTCATCATACTGTTTTCTTATCTTTAAAAAAGCAAAGTAGTGCATTGTCTTTTTTATTGTTTGTACTAATTACAAACATCGCTTCTGTTTCATCTCTATATGAAATTATAATCTACGATCAATTTTATATTTATAATCTGCATTTATATAATTAAATTGTATAAATTTATGTATTATATTAATAATGCGCATTGTAAAAATTATTTGTACATTATTTTTTATATAGAATTATATAAAATTATTTCTTTATAAAATTGTGTTTTCATTAAAACTAATCATTATATTATTAATTGAAGACATGACTGGTCAAAGGTAGCTATGTAACAAATTTTCAAAATTAATTTTTCTTATGGATGGAGATGGTGTTTATGCGCTCATTTTCACCTTTTGACATTAACACAAGATTCTTGGTTAATTACATGATCTCTCAGTGAATTGGATACCTAAAAAAAATACATAAGAAAACTTTTTCATTTTCTGAAAACTTTCCATCTTAGTTCCTTCAACCCAAAATGTCTTCAATTATTTAATAATTAATATCAAACTCTTGTATGTAATTAACTGCTTTAGTTTATCATCATTGTTAAAAATATTTGTTTTGTTTTGTAATTTAGTAAACCTGATAGATCTATGAAATATTTCATGTTATTTTATCTACTTCCTTTCACAGCATAGTTATTATTTTTTTTATTGAATATTATTACATTCTGCCACATCAAAGGGCATTAATATTAAGGCTACATGAATCATTCACACAATATGCACATACAAATAATAACTAAGATTTCTATAATAAAGAAAAAAAAAAAGAAAAAGTAAATTAATATGCCTGTGTACAAGAAAATAAAATAATAGATAAAAGCTAAATGAAATTAAAGTAAATAAAACACATTCACACCTATGTACAATATTTATATTCACCCAGGGGAATCTGAGTCATGCTTTGTCCCCCGATGTGGAAGCCAAGGCAGGACTCCAGGAGATCCCAGTGCTTCTCTCTCAGTCACTGTTATTTGAAACCAGTGGAAACTGATGGAGAGCACTACAGCAACAGACGCTCATTTACTTTGTACAATCTTAATTTTAAACTTTCGATAATAATCACACAACTTTCATATCTAGAACTATCAATATTTATCATTTTGTGTAATATTTTTTTTTAATTTTTAAGACATCCTATGTTTATTTACTTTTATAAAATTAAAATTATTTATTCACACTCGTCAATTATTGTATGATCAATCACTCACCTGGGTAAATATAAACTGTAAGAGATGCAAGAGGGGAATAGTGGAAAGTTGTATCTCCTCATTGTGGCACATAAACATTGTAATCCTTAGTCTAATTAATCTAATACTACTATCCTATACACCTATCTAATACAGTCCTTAGAAAATTATATAATAATAAACCACTGTTCAATTCTTTCAAATTCACCACATGAATTCTATATTCTGATATAATATTAAAAACTAGTTCTATAAATAATTATAAGACATTTGAAAATGTATTAGCTCCAATACTAAAAGATTAATTGTTTGAAACTTTAGAAGAATATATGATAATATTTCAATACAACTGTATTTCAATTATACTATTATTCTTTTTATATGAGAAGGAGTTGATCGGGAGAAGGGGGGGGGGGAGAGGAGGTGCGGTCAAATAAATACTAAACTTTAAAAAATATTCTTATGATTTTTTTATTATTTAGGCAGATAAGAGTTATTATTAAAATTAAACATACCTGAAACAAGTTTTACTCAGCCCAAGTAATAACTTGGAAGGGTATCATTTTATGTTCCTTGGGTACTTCTTTTGACCCCTTGATCTTCCAAAACTTGAGATCTTTGTAATCAAAACTAATATTATTAACACAGATGTAATCCCAAGTAGTTTAGTCTATAGTTCTAGTCCTTGTAGTTGATAGAGATAATATTTACTTATCAACTGTAAATTTCATTTTTTTTAAATTTTTATTATTAATGAAGTAAAAATGTTTATTTCCTATCATGAAGCAGACATTGTCTTACCAATTGTTTGCCATGAGTGCGGCCATACTTTAAGCCACTCCAATTTTTTCCTAGTGTAGTCCCCTACCAGTGATCAAATCTGCAATAACTTAATGTCAATAATTAAATTAGAAAAAATTGGTTCTAATAATTCTGATCTTCATCAGCAACAACAAAAAAAATATTGGACATTGTCGCTAACTCTGTCTAGAAATCAAGAAATAATATAATTATATTGAGCTATACAATAATTAACACGATTATTGACCAGAATTATATTACTGGTATTAAGATTGTATAACTGAAGAATCAATCAGTCAACCTTGTATTTTTGAATCTTATAGCTGACACATGCTAAATATATTTTGGCTACTTTTTTAAAGTAACAATTCGAAGGAATGTTCAACTAATGATAGGCAACATTTAACCTTTAATAACTTACCGGTAAAAAGATTCTTAGTCATCTTTGCAATTGTTACAACCAAATACTGTGCTCCAATTCTATGTTGAAACAATATTTGATCACACACAAATAAATACTACATGTAATCGGATGGTTTAAATGTTAATTGCTCATTAAAAGCAAGGAAAACCACTTGAGTAGTAATATCAATTGGTACTCAGAGGGTGGCCCCCCTATACCCTACAGTTGCTGGATACTAACAATTTTGTATGCATTCAGACTATATACTAATTGTCAATTCCTTCATTTAGCATTTATTATTTTTTTAATATTAAATTATTTTATAAAAAATTAAAAACTTCCAATTGTTTAATAAAAATCTTGAGACCTAAAGTGGTACCTGCTAATAAAATTTACATAATAGCATTTTATGGTATTAATAATTGCATTACTAATACCATACTAAATTTTGGTATTGTAGCTCTTTTGAAGTAAACGATCAGTCCACCTCTGTAGAAAAAGAGAGCTGTTGGAGGCTCTGAAGATCATAGTGCATTCTTCCCAATTATTGAGTTACATGTTTATAGTAAATAGCACATCCCGAGTTCCACAATGCCAATATCAACTTTAAGAAGAAATAATAGAGGGGCTTCTGCCACTAGTCATTTATGCCTCATAGCATCAGGTGTGGATAAGAGACATAATGTCAGGACACAGGATCTAGTTGAACTGATATCTAGTAGAATTCTGAAGTATGCAGAATGCAAGAAAAAAATAAAACAAAAACAGTTTCAGTGGGAGTTGTATGAGGTTCTATTAATAAGAAATATTGAACACACTCTCAGTCTTAACCTAGCTATAGCCACAAATAATGATGACAGCAATAATCAAACATATCTGAAAGCAGTTAATAATATATGTCGGGAGATAGCCAATCCAATCCCTATTTTAGTTTCACTTTACGATACGCCAGAAGAAGGAAAAGAAATTACTACTCCATTTTTGATTTGTTTGTAACATTGCTGTCTGAATGGAATACAATAAATATAAACTTGGCAAATACAATGAATACAATAAATATAGGTTTCGATATGGGCAAAAGATTAGAAAATTGTAGAAAAAATAAGAAAACAGTCTATGTGGCGTTCAATAGTATCATAGTCCGTAATAAGCTGTGTTGAAACTTTTTGAATGATGAAATACCCTAATGTGCTGGAAATGACAAATTCGTAACTAAAACATGTTCACAATACAGGTTCCAGTAACCATTAAGTAAGGTTACGTTGTGGAAGTTTACAATTGTCTTAGCCTCCTTCGGCTGTTGCACAAGATTATTGTAATTCTACTGAACAATTACTTCATTACTTATAGTAATTACCACTTCATTTAAGTGTAAATCAGTGTGTGATGAAAAATTTTAAAACAAGAAGGAGGAACGCTACTTTTAAAGATAAATCCAAACATTTTGTTAATGTGTGCCACAATAAATCACAGGTATTAAGAAATGGTTAAACCCTATATTATTATATGAAATTCTCTAAGCTTGATATTAATAAGTCAACTATTTGATAGTGATGTAGTATAAAAAATTATATTTATATAGAGTGACATATAGGAAAAATAAATGACACAGCAGATATTATATATATATTTTATTTTACACGATTTTTCTGATAGATGGGATTCCTTGATCTGACATATCCCAGGAAAGGAAACACAGTACCCCACCTTAATGGCGGTTGTGGGATATTATATACAATAACTACTTGACACAGATACAATTGTAGGGCTTATTTTGGGTATTTACAAAGTAAAGCCCAACACGAAGCTTTAGAAATTCAGGTTGAATCGAATATACTTTCCAATGTGGAGAAGGAAATCTACAAAAAGTAAGGGAATAATAGTAGGCCTCAGGTTGGTTAAACTCTTGGTTCTTTCTTGTTTATCGCCCCAATTCATAAATCAGCTGATTTAACTCCAATGATATCCCTGAGTGTAATTATTAACTTTTTAGTTTGTTTAAATTATTGTAAACACAGCTGATGGTGAAATTTTAGGAACGACAAACGAATAAGATCTACAGCTTTTTCTTTAAAACATTTTTTCTAACTATACACAATATGTATGATAAAGGGTGGGTGAGACCAAGGTACTTTAAGACTCCAAAACTTTTTTTTTTTTGAACAAATAATTTTTTCATTTTTTCTTTTTTTTTTTCTTTCTTTAAACCAGGTGAAATTATGATATGCTCCAGAATTGTCACCTGACTATCTGTGTATTTACAATTCAAACCAGTTTTCAGTGTACATTTATACACTGTACACAAATTCAAAGTTGTAACAAAGGCATGTTTTAAGGGAAAAAATCAGAGACATGAATTTTGTTTCCTACTTCTATAGGCATTTACATTGTTATAATAAAACCATTAAGAACAAAAAAAAAGAAAGAAAAAAGTAACTAATCTTTTTAAATAAACATAACAGATTTTTAATAATAAATATCTGTAATTAATTTAACAAGTCTCTCATTATATTAGGTTAAAATATTTTAATTCAAATAAAAGCAATATTGTAATAAATTCATCATGTAGTACTTTATTTTTAATTGTAATGTTTAAGTCATAAAAAATATATTAATGTATCACTTAAAATATGACACATCTGTAGTGTGAAATAGTACAAGATAAATAAGATAAGAATTCAATAAATATTAGAATATGTAATATTTATATATATTACTAATATTAGTTATTGTATTTTTTTAATATATTTGTTTAAACTAAATACTTATAATCTTAATTCAGGTACAAAACTTTCTTTGTAGTGCCATTTTTGTGCTAATAAAACTTCTTGTGATTTCTTCCCTCAAAACATTTCTTACAATATAATCTAACTGAATTTGACTACTATTAAGAAAGGAAATACATTTAAATACAATAATAATGCTATCGTGTAAAATAAACTAATATTATAAGGTCTGTAACCAGTACAGTGCCTTGAAGCTAAATATACAAAAAAACAAACAAAAAACAGGAAATAAAGAAAACATTTAATCAATACAAAGGTGATGTAAGGTAACACGAAAACCACAAGGCGTCGGCCAGGTTGCTGATGCAGATCAAGTTTGTATAATAACCTAAGTATACAGTAGGAACTCAATAACCTGGATACTTGCTTATTCAGGAGACATAGTATTCTGAATCCTCTTTTCAGGTTTGAATTTCGTTACAGAAAAAAATAGGTTGGTAATATAATTATGGATGTATTTAATCATGTATGTTATTTAATGCAACAACTAAATGCAAACATGTTTGTATACATGCATTTACATATCCAACTATGTACTGTCTAGTGTGGATAAATTTCCATTAACGATTTGTCCAGATTATCAAGATGCTACTACTGTAGTTTAAAATCGGATTTGAATAAAATGTGATATCTGTGCGTATATTTTTTTAACATTAGTAATCAAATTATTAGGTGTTATGAAATAAAAAAATATAAAGTAGAATAACATTGATATTTAAATACTTGTATACACAGTAAACCTTTATTTATCAGGCATTATTTTCAGTGGTGCATATCATCACTCATAAAGGAAGATAATTCAAATGATTTATTTTTTTTATTGTTACCAGAAAACATAAATGTGTACATAAATAAATGTTAAATTTATCTAAGAAGCAGACATCAATATTTTTTGTTTAGTTTAGATTATTAGCTTCTATAGCAATCCAGAAATGCCAAGAAATAAAAAAGGCTACTGTACATACTTTGATCAAAATTGGAACTGTTTCACTGATTGTAAAATAAAAATAATTATAAAAAAATATACAAATAATTTGAATCACATCAGCAACTTAAAAACATTTTTCAATGTTAAATTACAAAGGTAACATCAGTAATACTCAAAATAAGAGAGACAAGTTTCTCTACCTAAAACTGTTCATTTCTTTCCAAGTACTTGATTAAAGATAGCCTACGATCTTTTCTAAAATGTTTATGAGAAAAAAATGCTCATAACTAACCTATAACACATTCTTTAACAATAAGGCAACATTGTGCCAACGTATAAGTTTATAATATTAAATAACACTTACTTATACACCACAATTGGTAACTTTGGGTAACTATGTACAAAACTTTGGGGTAAAATAACTGGCCGACGCCAATATATGAGAGGAAAAACACTCAACACTTTTCCTTTACCCACTTTACACTATGTAAAAAAAAAATATATGTTTATATATATATAATCGCTAACATTAAAAAGTATCTTTTTAAGTTTTAAAAAATGGCTAGAAGATTTTTAAAATAATGTAAAATGCTAGTTAATTTTTGTGATAATGATAAAGAAAAACCCATGATAATGAACTCTTATCATTAGGATAGTTTGGTCGAGAAACTTATTGCTAGGGAGTAAAAATATATATTATTTAAATTTTAATCTTTTCATAATAATAATCATAATAGGGAGTAATTGTTTTGAATGCACAAAAAATTAAATTCTTACATCATAGGTGAGTTCGACCCAATCATCAATTTATATATTTGCTCCCTCAAAAAGAAACAAAAGAAAAACTCATTATCATGACTTTTCCAAACATTATATTGAAAAAAAAATTAAGAAAGTGCATAAAAATGAGAGGAAAAAAATGAACAAGTGTTTGGATCTAAGGATCCATACTCTCTTTTGTCGAAGTTTAACTTTAAAAAACAGACCCTGCATATTTTGAGAACACGCATTAATGTATTGTTTTCTTTTAATGAACTATACACATTTCTCAAATACTTTTCAATTATATATGCTAAAGTTAACATATACGCATGAATCTGAATATTTTCGGTGTGTGTATACATATAGTTTTTATAAATATACATACACTTAAGAGGACATAGCGCTTAGTGATAAGGAAAAAAGAAAAATTAAGTTTTTTTTTTGTTTTTTTGTTTGTTTTTTGTTGTTTTTTTTTTGTGGGGTTTTTCAATATTTTGCCACACAAAGGTCATCAGGCGACCAGCGCCTAAAGACATGAAAATTATTTATATATATAAATTTATAGTGGATACAGCATGAAGTGAGATTCTGTTGAGGGGAAGACGGTCTATTTCGATCTCCACCATAGCTGCACCTAGAATCATTGAAATAAAAATAAGTTTTCTACATTATATATTATTTATACTATGAATAAATAATACAAACACCTTAATTGACCAGAAAAAAGAATGGGAGTGGGATAATGGATGAATAAATGTCTAAATGTTCAAAATTTGTATATAAATATTGTTTTACTATTTAAAAATCTATACTTAAAATTATTAAAAACTTTTTTTTGTATAGTTTTACAAAGGAATATTTGTTTATATTTAAGTTTATTTTTATTCTCTATTTTAACTAGTATAAGATTTAAAGCTTATTACTTAAATAAATAAACATAGTTACTTGGTATAATTATTAATGAAGTCATTAAATAGTATAAGTTTTAATGGTTTAGAATAAAATTGTTTTTTTATACTGTCCGTTTCCAATAGTTAAAATTATATCCGACAATAATATGCAGCAAGAAATTAATAGAAGCTAATGGCTTTAAACAAGCGCTATCTCGGGCTCCTGAAACATTTCAGAAGGAAATATCTCTCATGTAACACCAGAAATTTTTAAGACATTATAAGACCTAAGGCCTGAGAGATTTATAAGAATCGATAAGGTCTGTTTTGACCTATACATATGAATGCTGGACAATTTCTCGAACTTAAGAACTTATAGCTCCTAAGATTCGAGAGATGGATACCTGGGCTGGGAGGATGGTTGGACCAGAGTGGCAAAGAATGCATGGTAAATCTTCTTGAAAACAGTGGAAGTGCACTGAGAGGACTTGGGGCAGAGGCAGTTGATGTCACGGGAGGCCCTGACTCCTCATGAGTTGTGCCAAAAAGGAGGAAGGAAGTAGAATTCACTCAAAAGTCACTCGCTTAACCAATCTTTGGCTTAACTGGTAATAACAGTGAAAAGAAAAGAAAAGAATATTTTTTATAGAGTTAACTAGTTTCAGCTTTTGTTCTATCATCATAAGTAAATTAAATTAAATTATTGTTAGTAAACTAAACGATCACTAACATAAACGAAAGAGAAAAACTATCAAGGAGAATTTAGGCCAAACAGATCTACTGTAAAAAAGATTTTCTTCCTCAAAGAGATGTGCGAAAAGATTTAATAACAGCATATGAATGCTAATCTTAGACTTTAAGATCGCCAAACCCAAAAGACAAGAGCTGGATCCAATCGAAGAAGAAATGTTACCTTCAGAAAGTAGAATGAAAGGTCAAATAAGATAGAATCTGAAACACCTCTATAAAGGCTAATGTCAAAGTTAAACTGGTCGAGACCACTTTCTTAGGACGAATCACAAGGAATTATCATGACCTATGAGACCTGTATTGAGGAAAGGATACCACGAGGAAGGCTCTGCACCTTCTAGGAAGATGGTATTCATTTATTTTAGTGCTCTAGCTGTAGAAGTGCATGGGTATTGTTGTAACATTACTTGTCAATTTTTATAGGTGCTTCGCCTACGTCATTTCAGTCCCTCCAGAAATGACGTAGGCGAAGCACCTATAAAAATTGACAAGTAATGTTCACTGAACTTATTAATTAGAACATTAAGGATGAACATATTAGGAGGACTCATCAAGTTTTGAAAATGACCCTTAGTATGGTTGAAATGTTAAATTGATGCGTAATAATAAAAGGTTGGTGAATAATGGCCTAATTTATTGTAACAAATAAAAAAACTTCAAGACACCAAAAGTAGGAAAAATGAAAAGAAGTATTAATTGTTAATATTAAATGAGAATCATCGAAAGAAACTAACCTTTTGAGTAAGTTTATGACAGAGGTGAGCTAGTGAGCGTCACATTGTAGTCCCCTCTTCACTCTCTCCTTCTTCAAGCGTTACTTGAAATCTGTTAAAACATAATAAATTAATCGTGTTAACTTCAACTTTAAATTCCAAACATATTTATTGCAGTGGAGACTTTTTGCTGAATATGAATCACTAGGCTGCTCAAGAAAGCTATATTTAAAACTTATGAAATAAAGTATACTGGTTTTTGATATAAGTGGATTGAGCTGATTTTAAAACTAATCCCCAAAATTCTTCGTTTATTATTATTTTAAAAATAATTTTCTTTGAGGAAGGAATTTGCCATAAGTGATTTTCATAGGAATTTAATTAAGGTTAACTAAAATAAGGAACATTTATACTCATAAGGATGAAAAATAGTCAGGATATGTAGTCAATAATCATATTTATTAAGTTTACTGATGTTTCGACCCAAGCTTACAGGTCATAGCCAATTACGTATTGTAAGCACCTCCGTCTATTTGGCCGTTCTGGCTGGCTCGCAATAATTATGTATGTATATGGAATTAAAAAGTTCAATAGATGTAAAAATTGTTTAAATTAGAGCAAATAGTATTAATAACTTTAAACAACCATTTCAGGATAATAGTTTTTCAAAGATTAGAAAAAAAAATCAAATATTAATTTAATACACTGAGTTATTTACCTAATATCTTCATGAGGTCTATCCTTCTCCTCGTCACTGTCCTGTGAATCTGCAGGGGGAGGGCTTGGAGGAATCATGCCTTCAAAGAATAATGAAAACATGTTAGTTATATAAATTAGAAAACTTGATAAGTATGATAGAATAATTAGAAAATTTTATAATTACTCACTTTGGTACCAATCTCGATTTTGCTCTAACATATCAAGAATATCTTGGGCATCAGGGTGAACTAGATCTGCCCATGTTTCCCATAGTGGATGAACAATGTAATCTATGAAGCCAACCTGAAACATAATATTTTGATAATTGTTTTTGTCACTTAGTTTATTGTGAATTGGGTTTTAAAAATTATACAATTATTTGCAGACTTTAGCTGAGCTAGTTACTTTTCTCTCTCATCAAGAACTTTTTAACTTCTATACCTGAAAGTTAGAATCTCAAAGATATTTAGCTTACTGTTTCCGAAACAAAGATGGTTTAAAACATAACAATCTAAATGGCTTCACGATGGTGGCATTGTTTTTGGCAATTAAAATGGAGACAATACAAATTAAAAGAAACTATATACAAGCATGTATATATAGTAGTGTTCACCCAGTGGTATTGTACATCATTATATTCATTCAATAGCAATATGAAAATTATAAACTTGTCATAATATAGCTCTCATAAAAATTATAAACCGAAAATAATGTAAAAAAAAAAAATTGCAATAAGAATATCTTATGACTTATTATATTTATATTATATTAAAGCGGTCGGTAACTCGTGTCTAGGAAAAAAGGAAAATAAGAATAACAAACCGTGGTTTGATGAAGATTGCTTAAACATGTGTGAAAAAAGAAAGGCCGCTAAATTAAAAGCTCTAAATAATCCTAGCGAAGACAATCTGGAATACTTCCGAATCTCAAAGAACGAAACGACAAAATTGCTCAAAAATAAAAAAACGGAGTATCTTAAAAATAAAATAATTGAAATAGAAACTAATAGAATCGAAAATAACGTAAGAGATATGTACAAAGGTATAAACAGATCACGTAAATATGTAGGGCCCGTAACGTCTGGAATTAGGGATGATAATAACAATATTCTGACCGATCCGGTTGACATATTGAATAAGTTTAAGGACCACTTTGACAATATTTTAAATACGGGAAATTATGATCTATGTCCTCCTTCTGAGTACCAGAGTGCTGAACCGTTAATAGAAGGACCAAGTAAAGTGGAAGTTGAAGTAGCTATCGGAAAATTAAAATCATATAAAGCAGCGGGAATCGATAATATTCCCACTGAACTAATTAAGGCATGCGGAGAAGCTGGAGTTTCTAAAATACATCGGTTGGTTAAAAAGATCTGGGTGAACGAGAAATTACCTAAAGAATGGAAAGAATCTATTCTTATTCCGATTCACAAAAAGGGTCCGAGGACGGATTGTAATAACTATCGAGGAATTTCACTCCTCCCGGTATGTTATAAAATATTCACTTTAATCTTAACCAGTCGAATCACGGAATACGCCGAGGAAATTATCGGAGACTACCAATGCGGATTTAGACGGAATCGTTCGACTATTGATCAAATATTTTCTTTACGGCAAATATTAGAGAAAAAATTGGAGTATAACGGTATTGTTCACCAGCTGTATATAGATTTTAAAAAGGCTTACGATTCTATTGACCGCCAGAAACTGTATAATATTCTAATCGAGCAGGGGATTCCAAAAAAACTAGTAAATCTAGTCAGGATGTGCTTGACGGAGACACTCAATAAAGTTAGAATCGGTAATAATTTGTCCGAAAAATTTGAGGTTCGTTCGGGCTTAAAACAGGGGGATTCTCTTTCGCCTGTCCTGTTCAATTTGGCATTAGAACATGCCATTAGGGAGGTAATGCGAACCGAGAAAGGGTTGGATCTGGGCGGGACAACATCCGTGCTGGGCTATGCTGATGATCTGGTACTGTTAAGCGAAGACGTTGAAACTATAAAACTAAATACGACAACTTTAATGAAAGCCGGTAAAGAACTAGGACTCGAAATAAACGTGGATAAAACAAAATATATGGTTAGCTGCAAAAATGGCGTTATTGCGGGTGATATCGATATAGAAGGAAATATATTTGAACAGGTAGAGAAGTTTAGGTATCTAGGTTCTACAATAACTAGAAAAAACGAAATTGAAGAAGAGATTAAGGTTAGACTGAAGGCGGGGAATGCTTGTTATTTTTCTGTGACAAAACTACTTAGTTCGCGCCTCTTGTCCCGAAACTTAAAAATTAGAATCTATAAAACAATTATCTTGCCTACAGTTCTTTATGGATGCGAAACTTGGCCGCTTACATTAAGGGATGAGCAGCGTCTTAAGGTTTTTGAAAATAAAGTATTGCGTAGAATATTCGGACCGAAGAAGGATGAGTTAACCGGAGAGTTCAGACGGTTACACAACGCAGAATTGCGTGAGCTGTATCCGGGTAATATAATTGATGTAATTTCTACGCGGCGAATCAAATGGGCTTGTAAAGTTGTTGGGCTTAGTAACGAGAGAATTCCTAAAAGGTTAATATTTGCTGTGCCGAATGGTAAGCGTCCGAGGGGTAGACCGAAGCGGAGGTGGGAAGATTGCATTAAAGCCGATCTGAAGGGACTGGGTTTGGAAGGCGAACGGTGGAGAGAGGTGTGTAACAAGCGATTGGTGGTGTCGGCATCGAACCTTCGGGTTCGCTAAGCCTTATTATTATTATTATTATTAAGAATATCTTATGAGACATGACTTTTCGATTTTGATGATTTTTGTTTTCATTTCACAGGAAATTCAAGAAGCTTCGAAATACTCATAGGTTTAATGAAAAAAAAATTGTGTACTTTTATGCAAATAAAATTCTGAATCCTTCATTTTTTTTTTTCAGCCTCTTTTTGGGGAAATAGGTTATATACATAAATTAAAAGGGTTTTAAAGAGCAGACTTTAGCCAAGTTTCATTTAAACTATTTGAGTCATTTTGGTGCTATAGTGTATAGTGACACACATTTTTTGTTCTCCATTTTGAAACGAAAGACTGGATGGTAATAAAATATATATAAAAACAATTCTGAATTTTATTGTGTCGAAATTTCAAAGTAATCTGTAAGGAATTGTTTTGTCTTTGCCTATTTATATGATGATTATTTGTTTTGTTTCTTGATTATTTATTATTTAGTAATGACTACATACCCCATGAGAATTGTTTATATAGTATATTGGTCAGTGAAAAAAGATAATATAATTTTGGAAATAAGTAAATGCAATGTATTATGAGAAGGAAATTTTTTTTTTTTTCAATATTTGAAATAATAAACATGTACATGTGTATGAATTGCAATGGACTCTCTATTTGGTAACAATAGTCCAATTTCAATGCGATTTTTGTTTTGTTTTTGTCTTCATTTCGTAGAGAATTTTGAAACCTTTCATATTATGAGTACAATCATGGGCTTAAACATCAAATCTGCTAATTAGGTGTAGGGTTTGTACAAAGGTTGGCCTGCCACACGACATAGTTATTGTTATGAAATACAGACATTTTAAGGTTTCATAGGTATTTTGCCAATGAAAGAAAAAAAATGTAAGATTTCTACATTTATTTAAAATTACTAATAAATAATACCTGTGACTTTTCAATTGTCGCAGAATGCCTATCGCACATTGGGCTGATGTCCATATTGGCTTCCCTTTCTTTGTCACCTTGTTGGAAGAATTCTTCCATCAGAAGCTCGACCCACCTCCTATATAGTGTGAGTGGCTTTGTCGGATTGGAAAGATCAGCACAGTGCACAAGATTTTCCAGGACCTAGGAAAGAAAGAATTTGTATATATTAAAACAGCTGATCAGCAAAGTTGAAAATAAATAAAACCTAAAAAATAAATTAGATCTATTAAGAAAGAAAAATGTAAATGCCAAGGTTAGATTTTATATTAATTATTATTTACCTGTATCCTATCTGTATAGTTATCCAATAACAGAACTCCACTACCAGCTACTTTCTTTGTTTCCACCATGGTTTTGAGATCTGCTAGCAAACTCATGTGCTTAGACATGTCAGTAGATAGCACCTAAAAAAAAACATGTGCTTGAAAATATGTTTTTACTTCAAACAATGAAACTAATGTTACAAAAAATCTTTTAATTAATGTAAATTAATACAAATTTTGTAGACACCTAGACCACTACCTACATTATAAATTTTTTAACGGACAAAGGAAATTAGAAAAGGCCTTTTTGGAGTTTAGCAATTCTAAAGATGAGAAATTCTATTCCGAGGGAATTGAAAATTGTCAACACGTTGGCAGAAATGTACTGATAGTAGTGGAGACTATTTTGATTAAATCAAACAGTTATAAATCTTTCTTTTTCTTTTTAAACCAAAACCCTGCATTATTTTCCAGACAACCCAATATTTTAATTATGCCTTTCCTTTTCGGTTTTCATCATCTCTTAAATTATGTCACTCAATTAAATAAATAATTTTATACACATATAAAAAAATAAAATTAACTCACCATATCTATTGTCATCTTCCTGAGCGTCTGTCGTTGCTTCTTGCTCAAGTTGAGGAAGATATCACAGCCCTCATTCTGTAGGAGTTTGAATGCAACAGCTAAGTGATGGTTTTCGAGCACTGATTCATCATTATACATCAATGCAAGCTCAGAACCTTGAAACACATGAGTGGAAATAATGAGTTAATATTAAACAGCATTTTATATTTGAAATTAGCAGAAAACCATATACTTGTCTAATGGTAATTTTTGTTTTCAAGTTTAAGATTACTTTGTATCATTTAATTCATGGATATAAAATCTAAATAGTAAATATGAAGAAAGAATAATGCCATAAGGTCTTATTAAGAATAGATTATTTTTCTAATAAATAATTCAGTCCAAAAGAAATTGAATAAAATGGAAAATGAGGTTTATACAACTGGAAATATATTTTCTATTTGAAATAAATAACATAAGTGATTTATAACAAGAGGATTGGAATTAGGGTGTAAAATAAGTCAGCTGTAAAACTGATAAATCATCGAGAGCAACAAATTTTGACAAGGAGGTATTACTCCTATAAGATTTATGATGGAAAATAGGAACCAGTTTTTAGTATTATTAGTATTGAGTTATTATGTTATGCAATGGGCCTTAAAAGCTGAGAAAAATAAATTTATATATTTGAAAAAAATATTTTATTTCATTAACTTTTGCTTTACTCAAATGTCTAAATTATTGTGTATTGTCTTGATTCTCTAGATCAAGAGTTTTCAAACTTTTTTTGGTACTGAACCATAATACGGCTAAAAAGTTTGTTGCAGCCCCTCGTAGAACTAAAAAAAATATTTAGCATTCTACAATTCAACATGCATTAAAAAAATGTGACCATAACAGTATAAAATTTGGTAAATATAATAGTAATAAATTAAACAAATATGAAGGATAAAATTAAAAAATGAGAATAAATAAAATGATATTTATAAAATTAATTGTAAGCAATGCATTGATAAATTTTACATTGGGGAAATGTCTCAAAATTTGCAAAATAGAATAAATCAACATAAAATAAATACTAAAAATCTGAAAAATATCAATGTCACAGCTCTAGCAAGGCATAGTATCATGAATAATCATATTTTTGATTATGATAAAATAAAAATTTTAAATAGAGCGGAAGATAATAAAATTAGAAAATATCTGGAATCTATATATATAACTAAAAATATTTAATTTGTGGTTAATTTCAAAATGGAGGATATCAAGGAGAGCTTATTTTGGTCTCCAGGGACATCTCAAAAGTAGAGTGATCTCTCGTAAAACCAAGCTGCTCTTGTACAAAATCCTGATTAGAGCAGTACTAACATATGGGTCGGAGTGCTGGACAATATCAAGAGCCCAAGAAACAGCTATTCTTTGGTTTGAACGTCATGTTCTAAGAAGAATATTCCGTCCAATAATAAATATTAATCAGGAACGACGAATGCGATCCAACGATGAGCTGATGCAGCTATATAAAGAAGCCGATGTCAGGCTAATGGCTAATGTTGGCAGGTTGAGATGGGCACGACTCATTATCCATATGTCTGAACAACATGTGCTAAGGAAGTTGATAAATGAGCGGATCTTCGCCACAAGGCAGATAAGCAGACCGAGATTCAGATGGGCTGATGGAGTGAAAGCCAACGCCCGAAGTATCCTTGGTGTCCACAACTGGAAGGCAGTAGCATTACTTGGAGAGGACTGGTGGTTGAAATTGTGGGAGGCCTTGACTCTTCAAGAGTTGTAGAGCCAAGAGTTGTATCATGATGATGATGATATCAAGGGGATTGGGCACTATTATGTTGACATAATTAATAAATTAGAGTATAATAATATGTAAGTCCACAGCTCAGAGTGGACATAACAATACAAAAAAGATAGGACAAAAATTTATAGAATTGGAATGAAATTTTTAATAAAAATAATTTTTAACTAGTGAGACATGTCCAAAAGGTAATTTATAAAATAGTAGTTGAAAATTAGAGGTTTGCCCTTTTCTTATTTGAGGTGTAATGTTAAATTTGCAGTATTTTTAAATTGAGGAATGGACTTTTCATAAATAGTTATGAAATAATTTTTGGAAGAAAGTGAGGATAAGATAAAGATGTACGTAAAAATTTTATTCATCAAGTTGATTTTTTGGGGAATTTTATAGAATATTGTGGTATGTGCTGTTACATCTTTTTCATAGATATTTAATGTATTGAAATATTTTAGATAAAAATGAGACTTGAAAATGAGCAAAGTTGGCCTGAAACCTTGTTGTAATAAATAAAATGAATAGAAGAGGTGAAAGAGTTTAATAAGTTATTTCCTTGAAATTATTAATTTTTAGCACTCTTATCGGACTAAAAAAATATTTAGAGAATTTTGCACAAACCAGATAAAATTTTGCTAGGTATAATCAAAATTTGGTTGATTTACTTTTATTTCTGTTATTAATAAATGTAAAATTTATTTTTATACATTTAATATACCTATTAATTTTTAGAATGTCTAATGACCAAATCGACAATTTCGACCTTAAATATTGTCGCAGAGGTCATCTCAGAGTAGATGAAAACAGTTAATTTAAAAATTGTTTCAATAATAAGAACTTTATTGTTTTAGAAACTTAAATATAAAAAATTGATACTCACTTGAATTAACAAGGAACTGATTAGTCAGGCCTGGGTGGTCGACGTCGTGGATGGTCGCAGCAAACAATGCAGCCATAATCTCCAACGGGGTAAAGACACTCTGTAAGTGGAGAATAAAGACAGGTATTTCGAAGATAGTTATTAGTTTAGGGATGATAACATACACTACGATAGTTTACCTCGAGAGCTGCTGTGTTGAGAAGTACATGGGTGGATTGGGTAACATCAGCAGCATGGGTGCTGTTATGGAAAGGATTATCCTTGACGTAGTGCTCCTCCAAGGTCAGCATGAACGAGACAAGGGTTTTCGCGGGGATCATAAATGTTTTCAACAAGTCCCGGTTCTGGGAGAAGATAAAAAAAATGATAATTTGAATGTAATCTTTGATAATTATTAAGTGCAATATTATGCCAATGAAAGAGTATAAAGAAAAAACACATAATAGAAATAATAATATGAGGCACAAAAAGGAACAGAGGCCAACAAACTAGCATTCTTGAGTCAGAATCAGCATCGGTTTGAATTGGCCTGGAGTTTGAATTAAATTTTTTTTTAGCAAATTCTCAGAATAAATTTCAACTTTTTGTAAATAGCTTTTGTTCGTGTAATTAACTTCTGCACTAATAATACTAGAAATTTCTATCTGATAGCCGTGTTTTTCCTGCTTTATAGTTTCATCTTGTGCATGATTTTAAACATAACTTTTGTATTTATAAATTTCATCTGGAAATTAATCAAGTTATGCCTGCCATTTGATGATCATGATGGTATTTTTGTTTCATAAATATTATAAAAAAGATCGAAATAAAAGACAATAATAAAAATCTTGTTGATTTATATGTTTTATTTTATTTTTAAGCCGTTTGCATTGCATCGTTCATACTCTCAGCAGACGAAAATATCAGAAACACACATTTTTTTTAGTACCTTATGCTTCTGAATCCTGCCAAAACCGAAATCTACAAGAACCTATTGGATAAGATTATCATTATTATTATTGATATTATATTTTAATGATAATAATTATTCGAATATTATACTTAACATGGAAATAACATGAGGTTATACCAAAATAAATCTAGAGTTAAATAAAATAATTAATATTATGTGAAATACTAATTAAGTGTTTTTTTTATAGCAATGTTATGCATTTATTATTATTATTATTTAAATTATTTACTGTATTAAATATTTAATAATGTATTATTATTATCAATCCTTTGTAACAAGATATTTGTTAAGTTATTATTTATTTTATATTTATAAATATTACATCATCTCAATGGAAAAAGAGGGTTTCAGAGTAAATCATGAGGATGCTTGATAAAAAAAAAATAAAAGGGTGCATTTTTGCTTTTCAATGAAACTTCTGAACCCCTAATTGGGCAATTATTTGTATAATATTATTCCATTGGGTAGGTCACGACCGAGAGCTTTATCAATGGAGTTTCCTGTTTATTCATTTTATTTATTTCTGCTTATCCAATATTCAGTTTAGAGTGCAATAATATTTACTTTGAATTTAAATATAAAACTCGTGCTAATAATGACATCAAGGACAAAAGGAATTGTTCACTTGTTCAGATGTTATTTCATTTTAGTCTTGAGAAACAAAACAAATGCTCATTAGGATATACAAAATTAACTGTGACAAATCTTTCCAACTTTTTGGACAATGTTAACGTAATGAAGGCCATTCAGCAGGAAGTTTTTCTAGTACTGAATGAGGCAGCTGGTTCAGAAATCAATAAGTGTAGCTATCTTTGAATATTAATTTTGAAAATCATGATATATTTAAGCGAATAATTAATTAACAGCTTTTTGTTTTTTTTACTATTATTATATAACTTTTTTAAGTCCTAAGTAATTATTTTCTTATAATTAATATTAATTGCCTTAGTTCTTACTAATAAGTCTTTATGATAATATTTTTATAAATTTTTATTAATTCACTAAATATTGATTTTATTTCATCCTTTATGATTTTTTTTTTTTTTTTTTTGCAATTTAATTGACTTATTTATTTAATTCTAGTTCATAATAATAACACTGTTCTAAGAGAAAAAAAATATATATCAAATTATTATGTCAATAAATTGATTGATTAATACTATTGTTCAATGCTTACATCCCTATTTTTTTCGAAGATTAGAAATACCAAGGTCTGATATATAGATATATTTGTTTGATATATCAAATTAATATTTCAATATATTTGAAAAATATAGATACGATACATATCAATATTCATATCCATAATGCGAATCCATAAAGATAGGCTCCCTTCCCAACTGAAATATGTTCTTCATGGGTAACTATACTTTAAGCTTGGGATCAACACTTTATTTGGAAAAAAAAAATCAATATCAACCTTCTAGCACCATTGGAAGTATAAAATCTTAAAAGTATAAAATGCCAGCTTTTTTATCACCCAAACATTGTGAAATTCGCCTATTTTTGCAATATTCAAAAATTGATTTTAAAAAACTACTAAACTAAAAAATATGAAAAAAAAATTAGATTTGTAATGTATTTAGTTAATATAACTTTATAAAACAAACTGGAGAAAGATAGTCTTCCTGTTTTTAATCTCAACGGACTTCAAACTTTTCGGAATAAAAAAAAGGCATTTGAATTTTATTAAATGCATTGAGTATGCCCATTCTTAATAGATTGACTATATTTGATAAATTTAAACTTGATATTTTTTGGCTCGAATATCCTGAGCAATCACTGTAATCGAATTTTCATTATAAATTAATGTTAAACCATTCCAGGACCGCCCAAGTATTGCACGCTCACCTCTATATGCATTAATTTATCTTATGACTGGATTTATACTTTTTTATGGATTTATAAAACTTATTGAGAGTTAATAAAACTATTTTTTTTTCAAACTGCTTACCTGAAATGCACTGTAGGCAACGACTGTGAGTGGTTTATTGACTGATAGTTCGGCGATCTTGAAAATGTCTATGCCCCACCTGTCGATTTCAGCCAGGGTCTGAAACAAGAGAATAATTGAGTTACTCAAGATTTAATCAATAAATAAAGGTGTAATGAAGAACTGATGTCACTTTGAATACTTTTAAAATTTATTTATTGTTTAAAATTCGAATAATAAGTTGTTTATTTCGTCAAATGTCTAGTTGTAAGCACATATCGCTACTATTGGTGCTAAAATTCATAAGTAAATTTTTTTTACTGAAGAGCATAAAAACTGATTATTTTTTTATGATTTATTAGTATAATTTCATATTTGATTTTTCTTGGCTATTTTTCATTGTAGCAGACTACTTATTGCAGTTGCAGACTACAAAATGTAGTCTTAGTTAGCACAAATAGAATAAAAATGAAAAATTATTACATACAACCTTTTGCAGTCACTGTAGCGATATTTTGTTATTAATAAATTTTTTTCTTTTTGATTAGTGATATGAGATTCTTATTGTAATAAAAGTCATTAATCAACCATCATCTGATGGTTGGTCAGAAATAAAACACACAATTATACATGGAGATTTAAGCCTCAAAACATAAACTATTTAGGGCAAGGGGTTGGATATCAGTTGAAAGAATATTAAGAAGAAGGAAAGTAAATTTTATTCTGGGGCATTTAGTACCCTAAGAACGATAATTACGAACAATAGAAGTATCATTTTTATGGTGTAAAATGAGCAAAAATAATTAAATTATAGAGTCAAGTAACATTATAATTAATATAAAAGATAAGCATAGGTAAACTGATACAACTATAGATAAATAAATATCAGTATGCTTACATATTTGTACTGATAGGACACACAAACACTTAAATACGAAAATTAATTCTTACATATATTCGGAAAATATATTATGGATTAGATGTATTAATATTTGATGCTTAAATGAAGTTAATGAAGAGTTTTTGCGTATGGAAGAGGGAATGGAATTCTAAAACAAGGTAGTACGCATTATAAAGGATTTTTTAAATGGAATCAGTTCTATAAGGACAGGTGGATCAACGGGGGAGGGGAGGGAAAAATATAACCATATTTATGAAAAAAATATTTAAAAAAGTGTTATTGTTCGTCTGATAACATTTAATTGGACCTGAAGAATCAATTAAACACAATTTCATATAGGTAGTTAGTTTCTTTCTTTTTATTCCAAAATAATTATCATAATAAAATTAAAAAACAAACTAAGGTGTGTTCTTTAAGCCACTCAATAGAAGTGAAAATATCAAAAAGGCGAGATTAATAAATATGAAATATAAATTATAAATAATAGCTCATTATACAGAAGATGGAATGCTGAACACTACCCTCGCTAACAGTATGCAGGTCCGATTTTTAAAAAGCTTTCGAGGTGATGCTTTCTCCTCTCCCCCTAAAAAATTAATTCCTTGGATCGGTTAGTGATGAGAAGGAATATACAGGTTTGTGCAGGGGCGGATGTACGGGGGTGAGAGGACTTTCGGGCTGAACCCCCCTCCTCAAAATGGTAAAATATAACCATATTTTATGAAAAAAAATATCTTTTAAAGTATTATTGTTCGTCTAATTACAGTTAATAGGACCTCAACAATCAGTTAAAGACCATTTCATACAGCTAGTTAGTTTCTTTCTTTCTTCTGAAGTCATTATCCTAATATATTTATACAAAAAAAAAAATTTCTGGCTGAAGCCTCCCACAATTAAATCCTGGATACGTTAGTGGGTTTGTGGGGTGGCGCAGGCGGATCTACGGGGGGGGGGAGGAGTCTTTCGGATTGAAGCCTCCCCCTCCCCAAAATGGGAAAATATAACCATGTTTTATCGAAAAAAATATTAAAAAATTATCTTTCAAAGTATTATTGTTCATGTAATTACATTTAAAAGGGCTTTAGAAATTACTTCAACACAATTTCATATATATATATAGTTAGTTTCTTTCTTTTTTTCCAAAGTAATTATCGTTATTTTTATAAAAAAACAAAACAAAATTAAATCCTGGATACGCTAGTATGGGGTGGGACCTCGTATTGAGAGAATGGACAGAGGAACAAGGAATAATCAAATAACGAAGACAAGTCGATTTTTTGAATTATCAATCCACTTTTCTTCATCTTCGGTGTAAGATCTAAGGAGGCTGAGAGGTCGGCACACACAAAAAAGTATATTTCACTATAGAATCTTTTGATTATATCTTCATTCATCTTCCTACTTTCTCTATTCCAAAAACATGTTACCATATTTTGTAATGATTTATGATTTCAGGGAAATAAATAAATATAACAAGAAAAGGTAGGGAAAAAGTCGATATTACTGTATTTTAAAAATATTTAGATGAGAAATATAAAAAAAAAGACGATTGTTTTTTTTTAAAAAACATTTTTAAAGTTACGTGATCAAATAAAATGAAACTGAAGTCAGATCTCAATAACTTTTCCTTCGCAAGATCGCTATACTTGTATTATTGAGGAAATATAATAAGAATTTCAAAAATTAGGTATGCAAAATATAGGAAAGGCGTAGGTAAAAGGGATCGATGGATTGAATAAGTAAAGCTGAGTAAGTTGGGCATCTAGGAACTGCCCTGGAAGGGCGAACTGACGATAAACTGAACTAAAGGACAACTTTAAGGGCCCTCAAGGGAGTATATAACTAAACCTTCCCGCCCTATTCCTTCCTTACTTCGTATTAATCCGATTGAGGGCTCTCATCTAGTCAGTCGGCTAGAAATCTTTGATCCACTTTTAGCGCTCCAAAGGCAAAATGTAAATCAGTTTCTAATGAAGCAATATATTTAATGACTTAACGGTTGTAAGAGTAAAGAGATGTATCGATAATTTTATATAGGTATAACTAGCGAATCCATAATTTAGTTTTGGGAGGCTTCAACCCGAAGTTTTTTTTAAAATATATTTAACGATAATTTTCTAGTCATATCATTCAGGTTCGGTGCCATTTTCTCATAAGTTTTTTATAAAAAATTAGGCCAAAGATCACCAAATGTACACAGTTTTTACATCCTGTATTATTTATTCGACGTTTCGGCTTCAGAAGCCATTTTCAAGATCCTACAAACTAATTTTAATTCAGTTGTTATAGTTAAAATACAATGTGTGCCTAATAAGGTTGTATTTTGAACTATAACAACTGAATTAAAATTAGTTTGCAGGATCTTGAAAATGGCTCCTGAAGCCGAAACATCGAATAAATAATACAGGATGTAAAAACTGTGTACATTTGGTGACCTTTGGCCTAATATTTTATAAAAAACTTATAACGATAATTACTTTGGAAAAAAAGAAATATACTAACTATATGAAATGGTGTTTAAGGGATTCGTGAAGTCGTATTAAATGTAATTACAGGAACAATAATACTTTAAAATATGATTTTAAAAATATTTTTTATCATACAATATGGTTACATTTTACCATTTTTTTTTGGAGGGGGGAGCTTCAGCCCGAAAGCCCCTCTTAGTAGATCCGCCTGTGATAGGTATTAAACATCGAGTGATACCATTTAGCTTTTCATCAAATATTTCAGAGAACAAAGAATTAAAAAAATATTTTAAGAAGAAGATAAACGCATGCGTGAATGTTTTACCCAAGATAGTTAACCCATCCATAGTAATTCATCGTACAAACTTGTTATTTTTGATAGGAAAGTCGTAATTGGATTACTTTATATGAAGGAAATTTAAATACGTATAAGAGTCGATCAAGTAATACAGTTAAACTGAAGAGAAGAATGGTAATATATTTAAATTATGATTTCAGTAAAATATGCTGAGAATAAGAGTAGTACGCCACCAAAACTTTCATATGTAAAAAAAAAACTTCTATTTAAGAATTATTTATTTTTATCTTCGCAACGAAAAGTTTTATAATAAAATACATAACATTTTACATCGATTATTTTTTAAAAATCAATAATAAATGTAGGTCCTCATTTGGAAAGTAGGTTTCAAAAAAACAAAAAAGAAATTAAGTTATAAACGATTGGGGCCACAAAATGGGAAGGGTTGCTGCAACAAGGGAAGGTTTAACCTTTAATCATTATTTTAAAGTGTTTTTTTTAAATAAAAAAAAGGTTTATTTAGACAATTATGTTTATTACAATAAACTCGATGTCACGAAAAAAAAGACATAAAAGCTTAGCAACAGTTAATTGTAGTAATTTTTGCAAAAAACACGAGTGCTTTTAGGTGACTACATAGAAAGTCACATCGTTTCTTTATACAACTTGAGATGAATCTCAAAATTTTTCCTGATAAACTTCAACTTTTAATTAATATGAATTTAAAGCTAATTAAACGAGAAAGATTTTCTAAAACTGGGGTAAAAGGTAACTGTAGTACAGTTAAAAGATGGTAAAAAAAATCACAAATAATTTTTGATTTTTTTTAAAGTGAACTTAAATGTGTTTGTTTGCCCAACAGTCATCTTTAAATAGCCTTAACAATGACAAATTCTACTTTCGTTTAAGCTGAATTATGTTTAGTTTTCTATGGATCAATTTTTAATTACTTAAATAAAATATTTTTTAAGTTATTGTTTCCGATTCAAAAAAAGACGTGACGCGCATAAAAAAACATAAATCTTAAATTTCCTACTTTTTTGCTGAAAATTGGGCAATTGTTTATGTGAACTTTTTTGTAGATCTTGATGTCTACTATCAAAATTTTAAATACATTTCTTAACTTACGGGTCACCTTGTATTTATATATATAAAATATATATGATTACAAAAACTAAAAATATTACCGGGGGCTCGGTCAGGGAATATGTGGACCTTGAACAAGCTGAAGCATAAGTGTTCACAAATATGTATGTCCGTAGACAAACAACCGTTTGAAGGATGGTGATGTAACCTGAGCCTCCGCCAATCACGTTCCATGGCAAGGTGAAGGAGAAATATCCACTTAATACTAATACGATTCCAGGAAATTCTCAACAAACCTGTTAAAGAAAATTTAAATAGTCTCCGATTATTTGGAAGTATTTGAAGGAGGCTAACAAGCCATGAGAGGTCCTTATTAAATATATTTTTTAAAACATTTATAATTAATTAGTTGGCCCGTGTGAATAATTCAAACGGTTTATTGGGTCATTGATTAAATGACAAAATAATTGAAAAATAAAATAATGCATGGTATTATATGGAGAAATCATTTCATATTTTCTCGGTAATTATAATCGACCAAGGAAATGAAAAGTAATTCGTCCTTTAAACCAACATGTTTATACTAGCTCCGACGGTACGGGCAAAGAGGTGACAAACGCTTACAAAAAGCCTCAGACTTGACAATAACCCTGGAGCCAGGGCCATAAAATCGACTTCATCTCAGGCGAAGGTTTGGTTGTAAATTACGACAGTTTATGTTATTCTGTGTAAAAAAAACTTGCCTAGCGTTCCAGAGCCTCTGCTATGAGTATCTGCTTGCAGTAATTTGAGGACTGAAAAGCGGAAATCTATTATGAAAAATTTAAGAAAAGTTTTTATTTTTTTTTTAACTTGTATGCATGGATTTAGACATGTAAAAACAAAATTGCTAACGCGGGCCACCAAGAGAAAAGTTTTTATTTTTTCAGATTTTTTCGACATTTTTTTGTTTCTTCACCTATAACTCCTAAACGATGCATCAAAGCAAAAAATCTGCTATTTAATTAAAGAACGTTAAATTGTGCGTCGAACGAGTACATCAACTTAATAATTTGGTTAAGTGGTAAGTTATAAAACCACGGTCAATCAACGCTGTTTGTTATCAAATTTGTCAAAAACTGAGACAAATTACTATAAATGGCCCTGTAGCTTGGAAATGAGTTTCCTAAGAGAAAAAACTCATAGAATCAAAGTTGTAGAGCATCAAATTTTATGACCCGTTAGAACCAACTAATTTTATGTAGTTCACTTACTCTGAACAAAACTTGTAATCTCCCGATGGTTAGAAATTGATAATGAAGGTAAACGTGATTTTCAATATTTCAACAGTATGGGTGTCTACTCTACTGAGTTATTTTTATTTAGAGTTTGTCACATGCATTATAAGCTTTTTTTCCACCTCTCACTAGCGAAGGATTTTGATAAACGATGTGACGAAAGATACCGAATTTCATAAAGGAATAACGAATCCCGATTCGAGATATATAATTGGCCAACAATAAAATGTTAGTACTCAATGAACGCAAAATTTGATGTTCTACAACCGTGATTCTATGGCTTTTTTTTTTTAGGAAACTCATTTCCAAGTTACAGGGCCATTTATAATAATTTGCCTAAGTTTTTGACAAATTTGGTAAACATCAGCATTGGTTGAGCGTAGTTTTGTACCTTACCATGTAAACAAATTATTAAGTTTATGTACTAGTTCGATGTAAAATTTAACGTTCTTTAATTTATTAAATAAGGCATTTCCCCCTTTAACATGTCATTTAGTACTTATAGATGAAAAACCAAAAAAAATCTGACTTTTTCAGCTGTAAAAAAGTTGCTCCCTTGGTGGTCCGCGTTAGAAATTTTGTTTTTACACGTCTAAACCCATATATACAAGATGAAAAAATAAATAATTTTTTCACATTTTTCGCAATGGACTTCCCGTTTCGATCCTCGAATCACTGGCCTAATATTCTTAAAATCCGCCGCCATTTTGCCATGGAATGGCAGACAAGGTTCTTTTTACTCAGAATAAGATATACTTTCGTAATTTACAATTAAACCTTCGCCTGCGATGAGGTCGATTTTTGGACAACTAGTGAGTCCCATCACTAGAATAACGACTCACCACGTAAACATTTTTAAAATCCTTAAACTCCTCATAACTCCCTTAAAATGCAATATAAGGGACTCCATCCCATAAAAGAAATGTGAAAATCCCAACCACTGATCTTTGGGTACAAGAAAGAAAAAAAAAATCAAATGTTTTCAAATAATAAATTATATTATAGCTAACAATGGTCCTATTTCGATGATTTTTTTTTCTTTTGTAGGAAATTTAGTAATCTATTAAATAATCATCTGTGTAAAAACGTGTTTAATTTTCGAGTTATTAGCAAATAAAGTTTCTTTTCTTTTATAACTTGTTTACCTGAATTTTCGGGGTGATATGGCTATTTCCACCTGGAGGAGAAGGAAATCTTCAAAATGGTATCTCAATAGTTGGATTTGATGTAGATAACGTCAAAACAACACCTTTGTTAAATAATATAAACTCCTCTATCGATCATTGGGACCTCAAGTCGACGAAATGAGACATGTATTCCATGTCAGCACTACAATTAACGTGAGGTTTAAACGCTGCGTACCCTTTGCCTTTTGTTATCTCGAGGATGGTACATTTTTGGACTTTTTAGATAAAACGTAGGGCCTTGATGTCCGTATCAAATTCTTCAAATTCCAATCGTTACATCTCGATCCATCGACTTATCACCGCTCCGGTATTGAAGTCTATCGAAATGTTTACATCGACTTAGAAAACATATATTCTCAGCATTGCTCGGGAACGGGGACATGAGTCAGAATAGACAAGATGGGAGCTTGAAGAGAGGCCGCAGCAGGCGGTAGACTTTTATCGAGAATAATACACTTAGCGTCCACCAGATTCGGCATCTGTCCTGTATCTTCAAGAGGTTGGGGGCCTTTTCCGAAGAAAATTTTGTTTTCAACGGATCAGGCGGATTCGATGAGGCTTTTCCCTCAACACAAAGCAGCCCCTCCTTTATCGCTGATTTCATTATCTGCAATCCTTTCAACGGAAATTCGGAAATCCACTCGGCAGAGTTTCATTTCCATGACGGATTGTTCTGAAAGAACGGAAACATATTTTTTCGCGTTTCCTCTAATTAATATCAGGAATCGAGAGTGCAAGCCTTGCCTAAAAGGTCTAAGCCTATGAATAGAAAGTTACATTTAAATTAAAAAGATCTTCAATTCAGATCCAGGATTTAGTTTTTTTGGGAGGGGAGGTTTCAGCCCTAAAGAGTTTTTATAAAAAAATATAACGATAATTACGTAGGAAGAAAAAGAAGGAAACTAACTAGCTATATGAAATAGAGTTTAAGTGATTCTTTAAGTACTACTAAATGTAATTGAACGAACAATATCAATTACTATACCTCAATACTTTTAGAGGTAATTATTAAATATTTTTTTCATAAGAAACGGTTATATTTTACCATTTGGGGGGAGGGGCTTCAGTCCGAAAGCCCACCCCCCGTAGATCCGCCCGTGATTCTAAGAATACGAAAATTATAATATAGATATTATTGAAAGATACCATAAAGGAAGCAGTTCAAATACTATCAAATACTGCTTAGTAATTATAATGCAATTATATTGTACTTTGTCCTGAATAGAAACAACGACATAATCTACATTTATTATATACACCACGGCAGTATAGATCTCTTTTCAGGTTTTCTGGAGCGATGGATTTTGATGAATGAGGTATCAAACGATAGGTAATTTAATGGAGAAATGACAGGTATCAATTTCGATCCTTAAATTCCTTCAAAAACTTAAATGGAAGTTATCGTAAAGAATTTGATGGTTTCAAAACTAAAATGGTTTCAGCTGTCGACGGATCGAGACGAGATAAATATGGTTTTAAGAGTTTTGATGCGGGGTATCAACAGCCAGTATAGTTTATAGACTTCAACACCTTAAGCCCTATGTTTCCAAGGTACCCCGTGGGATACTTAAAATATTGCAATTAAGGATAATCTTAGATGAACTAAAAACCTATTGCAATGGTAGATGAAGGAGACTGGTTCTGAAGTCAAATATGATTTCCATACTCTTAGTTATATACTTTTCTAAATACTTCCAGTAAGAGAGAGAACTATATACTAAGACTCTTCTGCACTAAATAAATAGGTCTTAAGCGAGTACAATAATGGATTAGTGTGTGTTCAGGGATAGTTGTGTCTTGTTGCTAAGCTATTAAACTGATGCAATATTTTCCAATGAGTGATTATTTATTAAATTAATTCTTACAATAGCTATGGTAAGGTATGAAGTTGCATCAATTATTTTTGTTGAATAGACTATCTTGAGTCTTTTAAATTCCCGCCCACACCCCGCGGCCCGGGAAAACCCCGTATAGTCTTAAGGCAAGGAAGGAGTGGACCCCCCAAAAAAGAAAAAAAAACTATCTTGATAATATTATATTGTATATATTAATAATGTCCAGGATGGATAGAACATCAGAAATAATCAGGCACTGGAAGATGATAGGATGAGGAAGAGAGAGTATTTGTCCGGCAAAAGAAATGGAACGCACCCTACGAGATGATGGCTGGATGATCTAGAGGAGGCTCTAGCAAGGATTGGAATAACTAGATGGGACAGCTAGCGTTGGATCGGTATGCATGGTACCGAATTGTACGGCAAGCCACCTTGGACTGTATTACCGACGAAGAAGAAGAAGAATATATGAGTGGCTTAGTATCAAAGACGGACATCTGTTATTTTTTAGAAAGTGGACAAAAAGTCAATTTTTATTATCCAAGAATATTCAAATTGAATCATGGAAAAAAATCATTTGAATTGGTTTAAATTGAAGCGATTTTACGAAGATTGACTTTTCCCAAACTTTTCCAAACAAAAAATGGCAGACGACCGTCTTTGTTATGGGGCCAGTCATATGAATAATTATGTTTTGCTGATGTCTCTTACACGTCGGATGCATCAAGGAAATGGATGCCTATCTAATGTGAGAGGGTATACTAGGTATACTAGGGTATACTAGTGTAAATTATTTTCTATAAATATTGCTAAAAAAATATATTTAAAGCATACAAAATCAAACTTGGAAGACAAGCCCGTATTTAACAGATGATGGTAGTGAATTTTCTTTAATTTGCGAGAAGGGATTAACCCGGGTATTATAATGATGTCGAGGCCGACCGATTAAATGATGAATGCGATAGCACAGCCTCCGACCGAGGGAATCTGCCTTCGGGACACCCTTAACCATCCATCAACTTGGAGCACCATCACCTTATAACAGGATTTGGAACCCGTCTTTCCGCAATTATCGTCAACGAGTTTTCCTAAGATTTTCCTAAATTATAAGCTTAAGTGAATTTTCAACCCCTTCATTCAGTTTTCACCTTAACTCAATATTCAAGTAACTAGGTAAGCTCAGGCAGTTATAACTTATATTTATTTCTTTAATAATAATTTTTAAAAAAGTATAAGTGGATTTGGTAAAAAAAAATATTTGTTTGTAAAAAGAATTTAAAATATAGACTAACAACTATATGCAGTAGTGGATTCATGATAAAAATTTGGGGCATAGCCGCAGAATTAATGGAGCTAATGGTTAGATAGCTTGCGTAAATTATAGATACACAAAGCTATCATAATAGTGTACGATGTTTCTTGAATATTCAATAAGAGTTCATTTGCTAAATAGCTAGAAAAAAGCAAAAAAATAATTTTTAATCCACATTACAGGCTTAAAATATTAGAAGATAATGAACAGGAAGACAAAGAAACGTGTCTGATAATAAAGCCATATTTGAAAGTAGAGCAAACGTTTGGTAGAAGGATAAAAAAGAAACGGATGAAAAAATTGTGGGATGTTTTAATATTATTAATTGAAAAACATTTTTGAATACCTTACTTTACGAAAAATATGCAAGATTATATTCAGGCTGGAAATTCACTTTCAGACAGGTAACATTCTAGAAGAGGATATTATCTTCTTAATTATGAGGGAAATTGAAAAAATCTGGTGCGGTGCGCGCATCATACAATTTTCACTTACCACCTTCTTCTAATCAGAAATAAGTATTTTCAAACAAAGGAGAAGTGAAAGTAAAAATTATAGACGCTATAATTATTTATATTTCATTGTGGGTATTTTTATTCGTATAAGTACCCTTATATATACAAATTTTAATATTTAATCGGTGTAATCTATACAATTAAATATTAAATAATCCCAACAATAGCATTTATGAAAACCGAATATGTATATTTATATAACATTGTCGGAGTCCATATTATATTAAGCTCATGTTGTATGAAAGCCTGTTATAATCTTTCGAGCGAGCTCGGGTGCGATCAATTACAACTATTCTACGTTACGATTTTTTATTTCTCCTTTAGTTAATTATCAAATTATTTCATATTTTATATTTGACTATATTTTATATTAGAGATTAATGTGAAATAGTCAATTGTTTCAAATAAAATAAATTAAAGGTACTTTAGAGGAAGCTAATATTGAAAATTAGCTATTTAAGCCCTGTTAGAGAACATCAATCAGAATAAAAATTAAATTTTATTTAAAACTGCCTAATTTTACACTGATATAATGAATTTAATCAAAATCGTTATAGCCGTTTCCGAGAAAATTGTAAAAATGTGTTTAGACCATGATATTAAGTGCCACTTCCGGTCAGTCGATTTTGACGAAAAAGTTACTGTAACATCCTTAGCATATAAAAACCTTAAATATGAAATTTCACTTTCGTACGACTTTCCATTTTTCAGCTAGACTATCAACACACACACACACACACACACATACACACACAGACCATTTTGCGGGACTTGGTTATTTGGACTCAGGGGACCTCAAAACGTGTATTTCCGATAAAAACTGAGATTTAAAAATGTTCACTTTCCTTTACTATATATTTCATATATAGGTAAATGAAAGTAAAAATGGCTTAATATTGACTTAACTTGATAATGGTTAACAACAATTACACCTCCTTCTCTATAAAAGTGGGAAATCCAATTTGAGCGAAGTAGGGACTGAAAGTAAAAGTAACACCAGAAGAAGTGGCTTTGATGAAAACTGAAACGTTTACTTAAACCTTTCAAAGTGCCCTCGCCAACTAATCAACCACTCAGCGCTCAATTCACCAACACTACTCTACTTTTCCTCAAAGCGGAGAAGTAAGGCAAGCGAAGGTGAAGTGCTGGCGGCTTTCAAGAACACCAGGCAAAGTAAATATTAATACTCCCGGATAAATTATTTATAAGTAGGATGAGTTATCTTCAACTGGAATTTTGTAAAGGAATGGATTGTATAACCTTTTCCAACCCAAGTTCAATAAACACAAGTTGTTTGTGGTACATTTTTAATGAGTAGAAAATTAATCTTAATTTCTTGAGTAAGAAGTTATAAATCTCTTTAATATAAACCAAGTTTGAAAGGTGATGATGAACTCAATGTGTATTGCCTTGTTACAAGACAGAGAATCATAGTAACAAATCTTAGCAATGCCACAAGTAAAAAAAAAAAAAAAAAAACAGATTATGAAACATTTGATGTAAAAAAATCCAAAACAAATAACAATTTTAAAAATCATATTCCTGGAATATAAGTGCACTCTGTCAGCATCATAGGCTTGCAGGAATCAATAAGGTTATAGTTTACATATCGGCATCTTACTTGAGACCTATGAAATTAAGAAGCTAAAAATCCTTATTTCTTTCAGGGTTAAAGGATGGACAATACTTGACGATGTAAGCAAAGGCTAAATTACTGAGGAAATTCAGTCTCTACATTCCCATAGAGATCGATTTTTTTTTAGAACTAACTTCACTAACTGAGGTAAGTCGCTGCGGAAACTACCCATACTGCAAAGATACTGACTACACTCTTTAATCTAAGAACAAGAAGAGGAGCTAACGGAAGACCATCGTATAATAAGCTAACGTGAAGTATAATAAGTGCATTCTTGGAAAATATGATTGATTGTGAGAGGGCTTGGTAACTGCTTAGTGATGAGATGTACATGAGTTAGGTTTGTGTGTCAAATTCTTAACCTGGTCACAGCGACCTCCTCTCTACGATAAGGACGGTTTGATGTCCAGGGCTTTACTTATTTTTAACAACTTTTAATTTGCTAGGTGGGCTTTCGTTCCAAATAGATTGCCAACTATTCAGGATTAGGATCAGGATAGGAGTACCTCGGTCTGGGAGCGTGAGTGCCTGTTTGGCTGCCATATCTGTAAGCTTTTAACCAAAAATGAAATACAAAAAAAATTAGTTCGTAAAATAATTGCTAGTTTTATTATTAACTCGAAGAGGGTTAAATATAAAATTAAGTATTTAGTATTAGTTTTAATAATTAGTATTAGTTTATAATAAGTCTTAGTTTTAAGTATTCATTTAATTTCGGATTGAAATAACCAACAGAAGATTGGGAGGAAAAACAAAAGAGAGTTGAGAGAGAGATGGCGGAACATCGCGAGTTTTGAGGCACGCTAAGGATTTTGTGTATAAAATGCTTTGGTTTTACGGTGTACACCGGATTTTCTTTTCCTATCCATGAACCTATGATTATTAGCGACGAGTGAGGTTTGATTTTACAAGTTGGTGAATGAACATTTTCACAGTTTAAAGAGGTGGACTGGGGAGACACTGACGACGCTAGCTGGAATAAGTGACCGCTTCCTCAGATAACTCAATGTGCCAATTGGACAAAGTTTGGCATTTAGATTTTGTAAATATGTACATATAAGTTTTTTTCTATCTATTTTTATTTCCAAATGGTTTTAATTGGTATATTGTATAGTTCTATGTTTATCTAGTTTAGTTCTATAATAATTTTATATTATTTTCTTTGGTAATTAAAGTTAATTGTATTTTCTTTGTTTTCTTATGAATCTAATTTCTTGTTTATAATTTTTATTTCCTTTAACAGTTATTTAAATCAATAGAAATAAGTAAATTCATCATTGGTATTAATAATAGCCAGTTTTATTTTCTTCTTTTTCTTCAGTTTATTTTCACATTTTATGTATATATTATATTGTTGTTTTTTTTTGTTTAATAAGGAATTGTAAAACTCTATTCGATGGATTAGGGAAAGTCATTATTAGCCAAGTAAGAAGGTTCGATAGGTTGTGAGGTTAATTAACATATCTTTTTAAACCCAAAGGTTCCGAGTTCGTAGCTCACTCATCGTCCTAATCTTTTTTTAAATTTTTTTTTGTGGTTTTCGCTATTTTCCAAATTCAACAAATTGAATAGCGTGGTGCCTGTTAAATAGTTAGTAATATATAATTGACTCTTTATTAATTTTATTTATTTATTTATTTTTTTTTTGTGAACCCTGCCGTCTCCACTGAGCAACTTTGTTGCAGAAACGATTTTTCTAAATTGAAGACCGTAACAAGCTGGCATGGTTGGGTTTAAATAAATAAATAATAAAAGTTGGAAGGACAAAGACCAAAGCAAGACATGGGAATGCGCAATCCGGGAGGACTGTGATAGAAAAGGGTTGGAATGGGAAAGAAGAGAAGACAGAGGGTCATGTATCGAGCTCTGTCGAAGAGATACTCTCACTAGTATGCAATTAAATAAGTATAAAGTAGAGTTGGACTCACCTTTCCTAAAGCCTCCTCGTTGGGCGCCTGCACTCCGTACTTCGGGAGGGTCTCCCCGGTGAAGGAGTTGGTGTGGGTGAGCGGCCGCTTCACTCCGGAGATGTGGGACATGGGCACCACCCTCCCGGGCCCTCGCTCCTTCCTCTTCGCCGTGGCTCCTCGCGGTTCTGCCTCGTCCACCCGCAGCGCTGGCAGGTCCAGCTCCTGCTGTTTGTCTGCAACAGGAAACAAATTTACGCATCATTTTAAATTCTTAAAAAATAAATTTACAGAAATCTAAGAAAGTCAGAGAAAATGCAGCTTACGTCCCATTAGTAAATAATTTTTTTTCAAATATGGCATTTTCTCGCTATCAACATAACACACAACAAAAACTAATAAAAACAACAATCGTTTAATTTAAAAGATGATGTGGGCCAAACCATACTGCAAAGTTCGGCCAGGAATAACCTTCAATGTAGCGAACTATCTGTTAAGGAAAATACATTCCCGTTGGATTAGCGAAAATTGTAGATCAAACGCAATGGTACTGATAATGGCCCGTGTCTACACAAACCCCAACTCAAATTTTCCTCGAGCTGTGTGACCAATCGTTTAGGATATATAGACGTGTCATGGAAGATATGAATACGAAGAGAGAAATACAACATGGCTGCTCAACTGTATTGAGTTGCTAAATAACAGAGTATACTCTTCAGTCAATAGAAAATGCTGTAAAAAAATATAAGACAGAGCTAGGTCTGACCATTGGAATACAAATGAGATATGCCAAGAAGGTTTTACAGAATCAAATAAGCTATGGAGGATTCCCAACGAGCTTAAAATAATCGTTTCTGTCATGGTCCACATCTGCTCCCTTCCAACATCGAGCCTCTGCAAGAAATTACTTGTATTAAGGTAATTACTTGTAATTATCTCTCGCCGAATTCATTTCTGTACTTTTCCTTTAGACATTTTGTATAAACTTCCTCTTTTTCTACCTATACCTTGAAGTCTTGATTTTGATCGTTGGTTTCAAATCTGATTGTGGGATCTACTATGAGTGCCTCCTTTACTGTCACATTGAATGCCAAAATATACATGAACTTTGTTGAGCCTTCTGTATCCAGGCAATAAACTTCGAGGAAACATCTATAGTTATTCATTTCCAGTAACTCAGCTATACGACGCATTATATTATTGTGCCGGCTGGTGACAAGGAGCATGTTATGCAGGAAATTGGCCAACACGTAACCTGTGGTTTCTGACTCACGGCCACATTTGCGGCAGAATAAGCAAAAGTTATGAATGGATTTGATAAAATTCCATTGATAAAATGGACCATCAAGTTACCAACCCGAAAAACCCTGAAACCTTTGTCAACATTGGATTAACAGAAGTAGTTGTTAGGATCCAAGAACTTGACTATAGAAGGATCGACAGGCACGTTCTGTATAAATATAAAGCTTCTCTATTTTTGTTCATAAGAAAGCAAAGATGAAAACAAATAAATAAGTTAAAAATAACCTTGTTATTTTGTAATATTCGGGGCGAAGTTTACGCCAAATCGAGCAATTTTTTTGTTGGTTATCTTTATTATCGGATATGTGATAAAATTATTTTGCGATTAAAGTCGAAAGCAGATAAGTGTTCATGAATTTTTAGTACTTAATTAAATAGACAATGAGTGTATGTGGCTAAAGCGCTGTCGATCAATCTCCACTGGCTTTAGTACCAGTGGCGCGGTTGGGATAGTAGCCCAGGGTTCTACTGGAGTCCCACTTTTAGCTAATTGTATATGCCCTCCATAGTTAGCTGATTGTAAATAGTATATATAGGTATGTATTTAATTTAATTTATTGTATTTACTTTTCTATTCTTATTTAGTTATTATTTTTTTTTCTGTTTATTTTACATGTTTGTTGTACATATACAGTGAATGTGGTCTTATCTTCTTATCCATTAAATATTGTGCACGTGACAGAATATATTCGGTAAATAAAAATAAAATTGACAATATTTCCGATCTGCAGATTGAAAATGCTCTAATCCCGAGAATATTCGTAACTAAAACGTTGTAGGTTATGATGAAATGAAGATATTGACGAAGTTTCAGGGGAATGTAAATAACTTGATAAAGAGGAGTCTGTACCACGGACTATATTTAAAAGCCATTATAAATGATAACATCACCATAAAAACAAAAGAATAAGTTTTGTTTGACTTATCCTGGTATCGGATCTTTAGTATAGATGTCATGATAGAATTTCATAGGTTCATTCTATAGAAAATCTATAGGAGGAGAGATATAGAAAATCTCTCCTCCAACTGGTTAAGTAAGGATCTTTAATTTACATTCCTCATTAATATTTAATAAACGTCAACAAATATAATATATTCCTCCTCATTTCCTATCTCTCTCACTGGCACACACACACATTGACACTAGATACAGATGAATATGACAATGATAAGGAGCGGTATTATCCGGTGAGGAGCTAATTAGTCCTAATTAACTGGCGGACTAGCTTGCAGTTTATGCTCGGTATTGGGGCTGCCAGTCTAACCCTAACCCTGAGCCCCCCTCAAACAGTTCTTCATCCCATCTGGATTTATTGAACCGAACATCTGCCCTGGCCTATTCAATTCGTGGCCTAAATTTCACAAGGAACCTCTTCTCCGCTTCTTCCCAAGATTCCGGTCCGAAAACCTCTTTCATCTCGTCAAAGCTTAACTTATATAAAAGCATCACTCCCCCTCCCCTTTTAGATTCAGTACAAATCAATATGAATTTTATTACTTTATCGCAATACACAGCTCCTTTCTTATCAATTGAATCTGCGTAATGTCGATCTCATAAATATGTGATTTTGATTTTTTGTGATTCTGAGTTTCTTTGATAAATATATCATGTTTCAACGTATAGAATAATCACATTTTTACTTTCACTTACCTATATATGGAATATATAATAAAGGATAGTATTGCGATAGTGAAAATTTTTAAATCTCATTTTTCAATGGAAATATACGTTTTGAGGTTCCCTGAGTCCAAATAACCAAGTCCCGTAAAATAGTCTGTGTGATTTAACAGTCTAGTTCAAAAACGAATGCTAGGGATCTTACAGTACCTTTTTTTGTCAAAATCGACTGACCTGATGTGAGCACGAAGTGGCACATTATATCATGGACTAAACACATTTTTACAATTTTCTTGGAAACGGCTGTAACGATTTTGATTGAATTCATTATATAAGTGTAAAATTAGACATTATAAAATAAAATGTAGTTTTTATTCTGATTGATGTTCTCTAACAGGGCTTAAATAGCTAATTTTCAATATTAGCTTCCTCTAAAGTATCTTTAATTTTTTCTATTGGAACAATTGACTATTTCAAATTAATCTCTAATATAAAACATAGTTAAATACAAAGTAGGAAATAATTTGATAATTAACTAAAGGAGAAATAAAAAATCGTAACGGAGAATAGTTGTAATTGATCGTACCAGAATTTCGTACCACACCAGATTTTCTAAATCCAAAAAAAAAAAAAAAATCTCAGTAGCATGCAAAAGTATAATTAAAACTAAGCGGTCTCCGATGTATTAATAACCAATACTCGGAAAAAACTTTTCCTCGGAGAAATCTACTGTCTACTCCACAATCTCGCCGATAGAGCTGTATAGTTGATATATACTGTATGTTAGATATATTACAAAATTATTATGTTTCAAGCAATCAAATTTTTCATCCTACAGTAGAAAGTATACGGAGCAAATAACTAACCCTATGGGACGAACATATGTCAAATGAACTCCGATTGGTGAAACCAAATGCCAAAAAGTGTACAAACTCCAGCACTTGCGGATTCATAATTTAATTTTGGGGGGCTTCAGCCTGATAAGTTTTTTTTCCATATATATAACAATAATTACTTTGAAAAAAAAAAGAAACTAATAACCTATGAAATGGTGTTTAAGTGATACTTGAAGTCCAATTAAATATAATTAATTGCAGGAACAATAATACTTTAAGAGATATTTTTTTAACAGAATTACATTTTACTATTTTTTTTTTTTGGAGGGTGGGGAGACGAAGACCTCCGCCTGTTCAGATTTCTGTTCACAAGTTCAGATTTCTATCCTTCTTCTGTTAATTGAAACACCCATTGAAAAAAACTAAGTTGTGTGCTTATGACCACATTATAGAATTGAAAAACATCGACTAGGCGAGATTAATAATATGAAATATAAATTATAAATAATAGCTCATTATATACAGAATGAAACGCTGAACATTTTCCTCGCTTACAGTCTGCAGGTCTGATTTTTATTTCCAAAGATATATTAATCCATGTGAAAAAAAAATTCAATTAGTCGACTTCAACCGACTTTTCCCGAGGATTATACACCGGGAATTTGACAGCTCAATCTAATTCACTCTCCACAAACAAGTGCAAAGCAGTTTTCACTTCAAAAAGATTATTATTATGAAAACTATAACTGACACACAGAAACATTTTTAATTTAATAAATAAAATAAAAATCCAAAGGTAAGTTTGAATATGAGTAGAAATGCGTGTGAGGTGTATTTTCAGGAGAGAGACGGAGAGATGGTTTTGAAAGGGGAGCTAATTTGGAGCAATTCATTGAGGACTGAGATTTCGCCAAACAGAAGGGCCTTTCAAGCCATATTGAAGACAAACGCAGTCTTATTGAGAATTGGCCAATGGTAAATTTAGCTCGGGCGACTGGGAGCCAATTGTGCTGCTCAGATTATTTAGTACGTGATCAGAATTGCATATTGCCAAAGGGCACGCGGCTCACGCTCCAGTCTTATATAATGTTGATAAACCGGCGTAGCTTCCATTATTTCCTATCATTCAGGCATCTCTTGGAGTATTTCGCTTCGTCGAACAAGTATTGCCTCTTCCTATTCAGCATACCAACTCATGTAAAAAGACATCTTTATAAAGGACATTACTTAAGTCATTTAAAAACAAAACAAAAAAGCTAAGGTGTTTTTTTTTTTAAGACCACACGATAGAAGTGAAAACATCACTTCTATAATTTTTTTTTTAAACTTGTTTATAGACAAATATTACAGTGTGTCTCCTCAATGGACATTTATAATAATGTTCAGAGATCACAATCACACTCCATTTACAATAAATAAAAATAAATTATACTGAAAAATAATATACATACAATAAACAAGAATAAAATAACCTAAAAATAACACATACATACCTATATACACTTTTTACAATCAGACGAGGGAACGCTGAGCCAGACTTGTCTCTTCAACTTTGGAGAGAAAAGCATGAATCCAGGAGATCCCTGCACTACTCTCTCAAACCACTGGGGCGAAACCCAGTTGAAATTGAGCGAGAATGGTTTAGCTTTAGTTTCTGAGATATTTTAATCCATATCTTCCATAAAACTCGTTATCGTTTGGTTTTCGACGCAATTTTTTCTTTTCACCTCTCTTATACGGCGTCGCGTTAAGATACAACTTGGAATAATAGCTCATTACAGAGAGGATGAAATGCTGAACAATTTTATTATTTACAGTATGCAGTTCCGATTTTTAGTTTCTGAGATATCTTAATCCATATCGTCAATAAAACTCGTTATAATTTGGTTTTTGCCACTATTATTTCCTTTTCAATTCTCTAACACAGCGTCGCATCAAGATGCAATTTTTAATAATAGCTCATTACAAGGAGGATGAAATGATCAGCATTTCCCTCGCTAACAACATGCAGGTCCGATTTTTAGTTTTAGACATATTTTAATCCATATGCAAAAACACCACACATCGCAGATCTGACGGATAAATATAATTTCCTCTCCACAAAAAAAAAAAAAAAAAAAAATTAAAACAAACGAGCCATTTGGTCATAATAGTGTTTGGCTGTAGCTAACAATCAGTCAATGATGAAAACATGAAAAAAACAATAGATACTCTTTTATAACTATTGTATATGAGAAAACCAATGAAGAACCAATTGCAAATTGAGATGTATAAAGAAATAAATCCACAATGAAATATAGCAATCCAGTTCGTCAAAAGATTAATCCTTTTGTTTATCTTGACATGATTTGATTTAATTCAGATGCAACTAACAATATATAAAAAGGTTGAAAACTGTTGAAAAATGTCGGATCAAGATCTACATCGATCATAAATGGGCAAACAGCGGCCACCCCGAGTTTGTCAGCGATTTTTATTAATCTTACGCTATAGTATTATTATTAGTAATCTAAGTGATGAATATTTAAAAATTAATAGAATTAAGTAGAATATATGTGTATAATTAGTATTTACTTATAAATAGAAATACCTGGTTAATACTTCTGTTTATAAGAAGCCAACAATAAAATATAACATTTATTGCGACAATTATTATCAGTGTCTAGCCTGACTGCGACCTCTGATAATGAAAAGGTTCACCACTTATGGCATAATCATAAGTAGGGAACCTGCGGCCTTCGTGACGTAGTCGCGGGCTCGCCGCATGCGGCCTCTATAAGTTATTGTGCGATCTTTAATAATCTAGCGCTAGAATTAATTGATATTTAATTATTAAAGTAATGAAAATTGGAAAATTAATATAATTAAGTAGTATTTAAGGATGTGTGTGGTGTATTTTGTGATAAATACAAATAGTAATAGTAAAATATGAAGAATTCTTGCGGCTTCCATTAGCACTGCCTAACCTTACTGTGACATCTAATGATCAAAATGTTACTAATCTTTGGAAAAGATGATAAAGTAAACATCAAAAACATATGCAAAGAACCAAAGAGTAATATATAAAAATGTTTTCGTTAGGTAAAGGATGAGATAAAGCGATAAATCTTTAGGTACGTCAAACTATAAAATGCTATATTGTTAATAGTGTCTTTAGCTAAATTGTGACTCTCTGGACGCGTCATCAAAGTGGGCATATATAGAAACTCTACTCCAACATGCAAGATGAACTAAGCAAGGGTGGAAAAGCTGACAAATTGGAGAAGAATTTCCAAGTTATTTCATTTATTAACACACTAGAAACTCTCATCTTATACAACCTAGTATATTGCATGCATGAATGTATTCTGTAAAATAGAAGATCAACTTATAATTCTAGTCGACCTATATTCGGATACCATCGATTTATTGTAAAAAGCCACATTAAGTGCCAAAATGTGTCATTTTAACGCACTTATATTATTTTTTTTTTCGAAAAACGAATTTGAATTTGGCAAAACCATACTTGAAAGTTAACTCATAAATTTAACTTATTGTGGACAATTTGGGCTAAATAACAAATTTTGTTTTTATCAGGATTATGAGCCCAAACCCTCTGCCATGTTAGTTAAGGAACAGGTATTTTATAACTCTCCCAAAGTTACAAAAACACCACCACAGTTACCACACCTTAAACACACAGATAGAACACCTTAAACAAAATTGGAGGTAGAAATTAAAAAACGCGAAATTTCTAGCAAAGAAAAATATCTCCTCGAAGAATGGAACAGGATGGAATCACCAAAAAATTGGGCGATGCCATTACAAACAGACTGAAAGGAGTGGTAGAAAATAATGGTTTGCCTACAAGGTGCTGAACTAAATAAATAGTATTTAAAAGTTGTGAGGTGTATCATTTTGACTTGTGAGATTATATTATCCATTTTTTTATTGATTTTTTAAATAACCATAATTGAATATTTTAATTTTATTGAGTTTGTGCATATTTAAAAT